CCTCGCAGCTCTCGCCAGCCGCCGGCGTGCCCCTTGCACGGGCGGACCCCGCCGGGAAGGGCGCCCGCCCGCTGCCCCACGACGCTTCCCTGCGCCCGGGATGGGGACGATCCCTGGCACGGCCGCCCGGCGCTCCCCTGGAAGGGGCACATTAGCATCACAGAGCTTCGCTTCCGCAACAGCAAGACCAAGACTGAGCTCTGGCCTGTAGCAGCGAGCTCTGGCCGTCAGGTCCACCAGCGGGCCCAGCTCTTCCTTCTGCTCTTGGATTTTCTTAGTGAGGTTGCGAGGCGAGCAGCTCTCCTCCGGGTGGAGTTTCTGATCGCAACTTTGAGAGGAAAGAATGTTGAACAGCAGGCGTGAAATGCAGGCACGCTGCGGTGGGTCGATGGAGGGCGGAGGTCCGTGCTGCAGAGCCTCCCAAAGATCATCCCTTGAAAGAGAAGGGCAGCGAGCAAAGGCAGACACAGACTGACGCGCAAGTTACACCGAGCGAGCCAGAACGTGCGCAGGCCCTCCCTGCTTTGGGACTGTTCAGTTCAGGGTTTCTAGGACTGACCGGTGACTCGATACGAGGGCAAAGCACTGCAGCGCGACAAACGCCCAGAAACTGAAGTTCTCGTTTGGCGAAGGCTGGATCACAGGCCTTCAGCTCAAACGGAGGTGAACAAAAGCACTGCCCCCCCCCCCGACACAGGGACCCTCGTCCACCCTGGCCCCCCACCTCAGGCCGTACCCACATCCCCCACCCCATGCTGCTACCATCACCCCCAGTAATGCTCATCTCTCACCCCAGTATGAGCAACCCCCACAAGTACCTCCCAGGGACCCCCACAAGGGGACGCCCCAGGGACTCTTTTATGAAAATCTTGTTCCCTAACTGTCGCAGCAATTCATTTTCAGAGTATGAAATTGGATCAAGTTCCTTAAGAGAGACAGAGAGCGAGAGATACCTGATGTTGTGTACTGAATAGCCGTGCTTCAGTCAGCAGGACTGAAGGACTCCAGCTCATCCCAGCCGCCCCCGACACCCCCCTGGACTACCCAGATCCCACCAGCATCCCAGCCCTCCCCCGACACCTCCGGGAAACCCTCCCCTTAGGGAGAAAGAACTGCAGCAAGACCGACTCCAGGGACGTCTGGATCAAGAAAGAAGCAGAGGGATGACGGTGCCATGGGATTAGAGCTGCTCTGCAACACAGCAGCAGCACGTGTGTGTGTGTGTTAAGTTCAAATTGCGCTGGACCTGAATGCTTGAAAGGTGTGAGAGCCATGTGTAAGACCGCACTCGGGGCGCCTCAGACTCATTGGGACAGCTCGTGCACAAATGCATGAATTCCTCTTGTAATGCTATTTTGCATCCCAGCCTCTCTGCTCGGTTGCCAAACTTTGCTCCCCATCATGGCTGCATGGTACTGGTACCGGTGCTGGTTCCACCCTAGTTGGGAGCAGCAGTTTCCCCTCCCTGGGGCAGAGAGGGGGAGCACAAAACCAACGCAAAAGCGCCCCAGCCCCCTTCACCCCACCACTGGGGGAGGATGGGGAATCATTGGGATGGGAAAATGTGGAATGAAAAATCAAACCCTCCCAAGGCTGACTGAAGCAGGTGCTGGTGGAATGATTGCCATGGGGACGGACGCCCCCCCCAGAATGCTGCTTTCCCCCAGCAAACCCCACCCTGACCAACCACCACAGCACGTACAGCAGCAGGCCTCCGTTCCTCCTGGTGCTCCTGCCCTCCGGGTAACCCCCCAGCCAGCTCTGCCTGCCAGTGTCTTACCCCGTCACCCCTCTTTGCTTCCCGCAACAGAGAGGTTCCCTTCTCCCCTTGACGATGGTGTCGGAGGTGGCCGGCATGAGCTTCACCACCAGTCACTGCCAGCGTGTTGCCCTCTGTCCCAGGGCTGCCGGTGTCCTGCAAGCCTGCCCAGCTCCACGCTGTCACCTACCAGCTGGCCCAGGCCACCACCTGGCAGGGGGTGCCAGGGCCCTGGGGGCCCCACGGCAGGTGGTGCAGTTCCTCTGCAGGGTGCAGCTCCATTTTGGGGTGCTGCTCTGCTGCGTGCTTGGTCCCTGTACCTCTGCCTATGGCTGGGGACAGCAGCTGGTGTTGGGGACGCTGGTGCCCCACCAGCGCCTGGAACCCGGCAGAGGCCTCAAACAAGAACAGCCATTGAGGACAGCAGCCATTGAGGACAGCATCCCTGCTGCCAGCCCCCACCAACATGCCCTGGTTCAGTTGACTGGCAGAACAACGACAAAGCCCAAAGGTGAGTTTTTGGGGGTGATAGAGCCCACGGGCAGGTGGCCCGTGCTGAGGAAAGCTGGCATTGCCCCTGGGTTGGGTTGGTTTTGTTTGCTTCTTCAGCACTGGTGACCATCCTGGCAGCCCTGGAGAA